ATTAACTTTTAGATGTAAACCATTAAATTCATATTCAAACAGATCCCCTTATTTTTCACTATATTTTAAGCAAAAATTAAAGTCAAAATCTTAATCATTAAATTAGCTACTTTTTTTCTAAATAAATTTCAAAGTCAAAGACAGATTGTTTATGTTTGGAAGATTTTTAACAAGCTTGATTTTTACTGTTGATAGACCTGCCAAACAAGCTATACTAAGAAAATTTGTTAAATGTAAACAATATTTAAAAGCAGCTATCCAGATCTGATACAAATATGATATCCTTAAATGCAATATCAACGAGTGATATTTGAGTCCATGCTTGACTCACAGGGCTGCATTCTGTCATAGTTACATAAACACTTTGATAGCATCACCTTCCTTGTTCGCTCTCTCTCATATATATATATATATATATATATATATATATATATATAAAATGTTGGTTTAAAAATAAATCCATTATTTCTTGAAAAGTGAAGTTTCTTTGTTTACAATTTGGGATATGAAACTGAGCAGATATGAATATGGATCTCTCTCCCTCAAGTACACACACACAACCCCCCCCCCCAAAAAAAACCCTTTTCCAATTTCTACATCAATACTTATGTTATTTGTACATCCTCTAATGTCCCTTTAAGCAATAAACTACAAAGTTATTCAGTATTTTTGAAAATTACAAAAATATTTAAAAATAGATCTGGACAGGATTAACCAAACTTTCTCTCTGAAAATTAACATTTATTTTAAAAATGTAAAAACATTAGTCAACTTTTTTTCATACCTTGAAATAATAAATTTTAATATAACTATGCCTGCATATTTATTAAAGCATGTTTAATTTTTAAATAACATTACAAGTAAAGTTTTGAAAGAATATGAAATGATTAATTCATCATTATTGAAAATTATGTGAAAAACCAGATTCCATTTCAGATTTGTGATTGCATCATTGTGGAAAATTGGTCCACCTACATTAGGCTTGAGGCTTCAAGTTCTAGCTTCAGGATTGCCCAACAGGACAACAGCTCAAAGGATTATAGTGTTAGTTTGTGGAATTGGTAGCATGAGTTCAATGCCTGAGCTAGGTTATATAAACTCAGAAGAAATGAGACTAGCAATAACTGGACAGTACTAAAAAGAACAAGATTGAGATATCCCAAGACATGAACAGAACAAGAACAATCTATCCCTGTAGATAAAATAAAGGGTTCTGTTAACAAAATCAAAGGTCAGAGTAAATACTATGTAATAATAAACAGCCTTTTCTAGTATAAATATAAAACTAACAGGGATATGTATCATCAATCCGATTAATGCACTTACAGGAGTTTCTAAAATATAAAAAATAAAACAGCAATACACTAAACTTTCATATTAAGTAGTTTTAGTGCATAGACCATGTAATGTTATTAAAATATTAGTATTAGGTTGAAGCAAATGTTCATAGCATTTTTCAATAAGGCTTTGAACACACAATTTCATTTCACACTTGACTGAAATTTATTGTATATATACATCTCCTGAAAGGTGAGATGTGTCTATTCACTTTTGATTCATGAGTGAATTTTAAATGGTTTTTACATTAAAAGTGAAAAATGAAGGAAAACTAGATTATATCCAGAAAAGAAAACAATGAACAGCAAAAAAGAGAGAGCACCAGAGCTAATAGTACTGTTTGTAAATGGTTCACTTTGTTAAGTGGAAATTTTAATCTAGAAGATCAATACCATTTCAATGGGCCTGCAGTGGTTAATGAACATATTGAAATTAATTAAAATTAACCCAGGTCACATATCTCATGAGCACTGTAAAGTACCAAAATACATGAATTGTTATGTTTTGAGCTTCCTTTAGATATAACAGAAAATTTTTTAAATGAACTACATTTCCATCTGCAATTCCATGCCCAAACACAACAAAAAACACACATTTTTGAAAAGAATAACAGATAATGAAAAATGGATTGTTTACAACAATGTAGAGTGTAAAAGGCCTCAGGGAAAACAAAATGAGCCATCATTAACCACTCCAAAAGCCAGTCTGAAGAAGGTGATGCTGTGTATATGGTGGGATTGTACAGGCATTCTGTATTAAAAGCTATTAAAAGCAAAATCAGGCACATTAAAGGAGCTACTCAATATTCCAACAAAAAATTTCTGACTGGGAAACATGCTAAATGATAATGGTAAATATAATGACTATAAGGTCAGTACCTTCATGAGATTGCTAAAAAAAAGAGCATAGCATGATGAAAAAGATGCCAAACTTGACGAAAATGAAATTTTATTGTCTAAATGTTTATATTATTAAGAGGAAAGACCAAAGTTTGTTTTTTTTTTTAAATAATTTTAAAATTTTTTCCTTCTTTTTAGAACATTCTAAATTTTGATTAAAAAACCTTGTTTCTCTTTGTATCACCAGAACTAGTAAAACAACATATACAATTTTTAGCATGTTTTTTGTATGACACACATTAATTTGAAAAATCTTGCAAAAAAATAAAAATAATCGTCGGATGTTAATGAAACCTTCAGAAACAATTAACAGATGATGGAAATTATTATAAATATGTTTTTTTTAAATTAAAGTCATGGCAGAAATATTTTTTTTAAACATTTATTACCCTCTTCCCAAGTAATTTTATGAAAACTCTAGAAATTCAGTCGCGTTCAGTTTAATGATTATATTAGTTAAAAGCACAAGGATTTGAGGAAAGCAAATCATGTTTTGTTTTTTTAATTGGACCCCCCTCCTCCACCTGAAAATCAGCTCTGAATTTTAACATACAAAACTCAAAACTAAGATATTATTTAATTTCAAATGCTTTTATTTGCTTTTAGTTGTTTTATGAATATGGACAATATTTTCTGAAAGCAAAATATTTTTTGATGAAAAAAGAATTTTTAATACAATTATTTGTTATTTCTTTAATTATTTTAGATTTTTACATTTAAATTGTTAAAATATTATAAAATTAGTTGAAAGCTGCATTCACTTTTGTAAATGTCCTTATGAGATAAGATCATTTTTTAGCGCTTTGTAAATTATATCGCTTCGTCCAATCAGAAGACCCGCAATAATTAAATGTAATTTTGTGTTCATAAAAGTCATTAAAATGGCTGTAATTAAAAAGTATGGAAGGTCGCAAGCAATAAAACGTCACGTGGCTTGAGTGTAACTGTTCTTCGCTGAACGTCCATTTCATTATTGCAAATTCTTCATGCAAAACAAATGTTGAGCATTTTGAATTAGCATTTTTACTAATTAAAAAAATTTGAACACCACCCTAAGCCATTTTCAGCAACAACATTTTTAAAAGTACCATTTATTTCATTTACATATTTCATTGCAATGTCAATTTTGTAAAGTTGTTTTACAGTTTTCAGAGCACTGAAAGTTTTCCTTAAAAACAACGAGGTAAGTAATTTGTTCACTTAAATCTAAATAATTTCACTTTAAATTAAGCTTATTTCAAAATATTTTAAATAAACATTATAATTCCTAACTTTCTTAAAATAAGTTTTGAAAAAATTACAATTTATTTTTAAAAGGACTCAAAAAAAAAAAAACTTTAACAAAAATTTTGGATGTGCTAGGAACGATTAAAAAATGTAAAAATATACCCCAAAAATACTTTGATCTTTCCTCTTAATAATAAACATTTAGACGATAAAGTTTTGTTTTTGTCAAGTCTCATGTCTTTCATCATGCTATGCTCTTTTTTAGCGATCTCATGAAGGTACCTACTATAAGGTTATCCTGAGGAAAACTCAAAGGACATAGAGAAAGTGAGAAAACTTAGCTTAAAGATATTCTCTATGATTATAACTATGAGCAATATCAGAATTAACAACAAAGTTCAGATGAAGAACATTGACCCCACAGAGTTGCAATCAATGCATCAGTTCAGAGGTTCAATATTGTATTCTACAGTTCATTGAACTAGTATCAGACTATTCAAAAGGTTATTCAATGTTCAGGGGGTCAGTACCAGATTCTACAAAATTAGAGATCATCTCATTTCATGTATATCATTACTTAATGCATAACAATAAAGGTTCAAATTAATTTATGAGCATCATGGGCAACACTGCAAAAGTCAATCATTTTAGAAAAAGATTTTAAATATCCCGAACTAATGGCCGCCCTGCACATATTGTTTCCAATTGAACTGATTAAAAGGCAATAATTGATGAAAATTGTCCAGAATTAGCTGATTAGAATAATGTCTTCCATCAAGACAATGCCAGAACTCATCTCTTTGAAGACTCCACAGAAATTGATACAGCTTAGCTGTAATGTCTTACTACACCCACCATACTCACCTAATCATGAACCATTAACTTAATACTTATTTCAATCCTTGCAAAAGTCACTTAATGAAAAGAACTTTGATTGTTTTTGGAAGCCTGTAAAACCTGCTTAGACCAGCTCATCACCCAGAAAAATGAAAGTTCTTGGAGGATAGAATCATGAATCTGACTCAAAATGGTAAAAGGTAGAGGAACAAAAGTGGCACATATATGGTTGAATAAATGCATGTACAAATATGTATCATCTTTGGAAAAAAAAAAAAAAAAAAAAAAAAAAATATGCACTTTTGTTCTAACCTAATTTTATCCATAGCATTTTTTAACATACAAAGATATACAGAGTGTGGCAGAAATACCTTCCACATAATGGTAAGATATTAACTAGATGAAAACACCATTGTCACCAATGTCTTATGTGGGTGGTATTTCTGTTGCATCCTGTAAAAGATACATTTGAAAAGTCTACAAGAGTTTAAAAATTTTTTCAGATGTTTAAAACTTCAAAATCATTAACAAATATGCCAGTTGATCTAATAAAAAAATAATAAAATTTTGCTCTTGTTTTAAAAATTAAAAAAGTTATTTATAACAAAGTATTTTCAAATCTTATGAGAAAAAAAATCTTTCATTGTCCTTAAGTACTCTCTTATACTTAGTTTAAAGAGTCATACTAGATAAACTTACTTCCAGTATCAGTGGGCCAATATCACTTCCAATGGACACAATGGATGGTTTACTGGAGGACACTTGACTTTGCTGAACAGCGTCACTTGTTTCACTCTCTAGAAGTATTAAAGAAAAAGAATAAATATCATTTTCCTTTAGAATGCTATTCTTTTAATTTTCATTGAAAAAAGAAAAAAAGAAAAAAAAAAAAAAAAAAAAAAAAAAAAAAAAAAAAAAAAAAAAAAAGAAAAAAAAAAAAAAAAAACGAAAAAAAAAAAAGAAAAAAAAAGAAAAAAAAAAAAAAAAAAAAAAAAAAAAAAGAGAAAAAAAAAAAAAAAAAAAAAAAAAAAAAAAAGAAGAAAAAAAAAAAAAAAAAAAAAAAAAAAAAAAAAAAAAAGAGAAAAAAAAAAAAAAAAAAAAAAAAAAAAAAAAAAAAAAAAGAAAAAAGAAAAAAGATCCCAATGTCAAGAAAAAAAAAAAAAAGAGAAAAAAAAAAAGAGAAAAGAAAAAAGAGAAAAGATTCACTTTAAAATTTTTTCCAAAAAATGAAAAAAAAAAAAAAAAAAAAAGAGAAAAGATGAAAGAAAAAAAAAAAAGAAAAATCAAAAAGAAAAAGAAAAAGAGAAAAGAAAAAAGAGAAAAGAAAAAAGAAAAAAGATATTCAAAAAAAGAAAAGTTTTCAAAGAGAAAAAAAAAAAAAAAAAAAAAAAAACATTTCAAAAAAAAAGAAAAAATTGAAAATTTTCTAAAAAAAGAAAAAAAAGAAAAAAAAAAAGAGAAAAAGAGAAAAAGAAAAAAAATTCTTCAAAGAAAAAAAAAAAAGATTCTGAAAAAAATTCTCTGAAAAAAAAGAGAAAAAAGATAAAAAATTTGTTGAGAATATTCAAAAATATTAAAAAAAAAAAAAGAGATTTCAAGAGAAAAGAAAAAAAAAAAAAAAGAAAGAGAAAAAAAAAGAAAAGAAAAAGAGAAAAGAAAAAAGAAAAAAAGAAAAAAAAGAAAAAGAAAAAAGATACGAAAGAAAGAAAAAGAAAAAAATTCAAAAGAAAAAAATATAATATAAATAAATATAAAATATAAAAAAATGAAAAACAAAAAAGTCTTGTTGAAGAAAAACTTCTGAAAAGAAGAAAATTCTAGAGAAAAATGAAAAGAGAAAAAAAGAAAAAAGAAAAAAATGAAAAATATGAAAAAAAAGAAAAAATAAAAAATTGAAAAGAAAAAAAATGAAAAGAAGAAAATGAAAAGAAGAAAAATGTGAAAAAGAAAATCCAAAAAAAATGAAAAAAGAAGAAAATTTTTTTTGAAAATGAAAAGAAGAAAAATGAAAAGAAGAAAAATGAAAAGAAAAAAATGAAAAATTGAAAAATTTTGAAAAGAAAAAATTTGCCAACAAAAAAAAAAAAAAAAATGAAAAGAAAAAATGAAAAGAAAAAAATGAAAAGAGAAAATTGAAAATTGCAAAAAAAAAAAAAAAAAAAAAAGAAAAAAAAAAGAAGAATGAAAATGCAATCAAGAAAACTTTGGAGAAAACACTGATGTGTCAATAAAATCTATTTAAAAAATTCTCGTTAACATTATGTTAAACTGAATGCAATGTGTTCCTTTCATATTGTAAAAATATATGAAACTCCAGTAATTTATAAACTGATGCTATTATCTTGGTTCTTGCATCTTGTTAGTTATGTAATTAAGGATTTGATAATGTTGCTCAAATCTCAAAGCGTATGCATTTGTAACTTTTTAAATAACCTATATTATTATAACTGATTTTTATCAAAGAATAAAACATTGTGGCTTTTATATCAACCTATTCATTCTTCAATATTTTTCACAGAATTTACAAAAAACATTCTTTGAAAGAATATAGAAGAAATAAAAAATAAAATTGGTATAATGTAATAAACTTTTATGCATCATACCATAATTTGTCCTGTAATCTTCTTTCAAATGAGAATAAGTAAAGAACAAAAATAAAAAAACTACTTTATAACAGAAGTTGAAATATAATCTTTTACAGGATTTAAAAGCTAACAAAAATAAAAATTCTATAAGATTTCTTTTTTTTACATATTGTTGTGTACGATACACCTAATTTACATAAGTGGAGTACCGACCATATAAATATGGGTTGGTACCGGAAGACGGAAAAGAGATAGTAAGAAGAGATCCAATCCAGAGACTCTGCCCGACTGCGATTTAGTCAACCCATTATGCAGGAACAGTCTTCCCAAGAATATACCAAAACTAACTGTAAATATTGTGTACCTTTTCCTTGTTTCAATACATTTTGTTAACGTACATTTTGTGTTGTATTATTATTATTATTCCATGCTTATCCAAGTTTCAACAATGGCGACGAGGTATAAAGAACTTTACGGAAAAAAAAAAGAATTAATAATTGATAGCCTTCAACAATTGGGACAAGTGGAAGAACCCAGGCTGAAGAAAAAAAAAATCATTAATTAAAAGTCGAACATCTAATGGAACGGAAAAGTATTCTGAAGTTTGGACAGTTAAAACTAGTTAAAGGACGACTAAGCTTAAAGGAACGTTCACTCAGAAAAAATCTGGAAGGTGGCGTAAACAAATAACGCAAAAAAAAAAAAAAAATGCTGGCCGAAAAAAAAAAAAAAAAAAAAAAAAACTAAAAAAAAAAAAAAAAAAAAAAAAAAAATGCATGGAATTAAAAGGAGCACAAATACAACGTGTCGACTTTGAAAGGTAAGCGAACTTGTAAAAAAAAAAAAAAAAAAAAAAAAAAAAAAAAAAAAAATTTTTTTTTTTGTTTGGTTGCTCAACAATATTTTATAAAGCAAGACATAAAATTAAAAAAGGCGTAAGTTGTTTCAATTTTTTTTTTGTCTTATAGTATATTCGTGGATACACAATTTAAAAGTATATTCTTTGTTGCATGAACACTATCAGTTAAAAATGGAGGAATTATCCAAAGTCATAGCTGAATTGTTTAAAGCCCAGCAGTTGAGTCAAGCTGAGTTAGTCAAATCCCAGCAGTTGAGTCTGCAACAACAAAGTGAACAGTTTGCCTTATTAAGAGAACAGCAATTAGCACAGCAGAATTATAAAGAAAGGCAAGAGGAGTTGAGTCAGCAACGTCAAAGGGAACAGGAAGAAATGTATGTCAAGGTTTTGGAAATTCAAAAGTTAACATTGGAGAAATTAAACAACATTCAGGCAAATGAAAGTAACTCTTCATATTCTAATAACATCATATTTAATTGTTGGAAACTTTCAACTATGTGCCAGACGAAGGAAAAAAACGTTTGAAGCGTACTTTTAAACGATATGAAGATATTTTCCACACAGACTGTGAAAACTGGTCAATTCAAGAAAAGTCAGTCTATTACTAAGAAAGCTAGGTACAGCGGAACATAGCAAATTTGTAGATTTTATTCTACTGAGAAGAACAAATGAATTGGAATTCTCGGAAACAGTGAAATTGCTAAAGGAGTTGTTTGGAGCAAATATGTCGCTTTGGCATAAGCGATGGTTATGCATGAATGTAGCTAAATCCGACGATCAAGATTACTTAACTTATGCATCTATAGTGAATAGACATTGTGACAATTTCAGATTGGCAGAGATTACGGTTGAAGAATTCAAGTGTTTAATTTTTGCTCAAGGACTGGTATCCAGTAAGAGTGCCGAAATAAGACGTAGAGTTTTGTCTAAACTCGAATCTGAACAAAACCTTACCCTGCAAAAGTTAGCAGAGGAGTGTCAGCGGGCCGTAAGTTTAAAAGAAAGAGTCTCAAAAAATTGAAGAAGCTGGTATTGCTTATATTAAAAAAGTGAAGAAACAGTCAAATTACCCATCAGAAAAAAAAAATTGGATTAAAAATTCACATGATTTTTTTAAATAGACAAGAAAAATTAAATGAAAAGAATGAGGAAAAAAAAAAAATGGTTCCGCCATTTAATTGTAGACGTTAAACGGAAGACACTGGGAGTTAAATTGCCCATATAGAAATAAAAAATGTTTTGTGTGCCACAAGAATGGTCACAAAGGGTCGTGTTGTAAAACGAAAAAAAGTCAATAGCGAATTAGACAAACAAATTCAAATATCAAATCAGATAGAGATTTGAGGAAATATGTGACGACTGAAATATTTAAAAAGAATATCAAATTTCAACTCGATTCGGGTTCAGATTTAACAATAATGAACTATAAAACATGGAAAATTTTAAAAGGCCTACAATAATGAAGTCAATAAACGCGCTTCGAACAGTGACTGGAAAGGAAATTAAATTCGAAGGCGAGGTTGTACTTCCCATGAAATTGAACGGGATAGTTAAAAAAAAAAAGTTTTCATTCTGAAAATGGAGAAAACTTGATGGGTACAGATTTTATTGAAACATTCAATTGTGGGATAAACCGTTAAACTCTTTTCTGCAGAAAAGTAGAAAGTAATACATTCAAACAAGACAGGACATTAATGAGGAATTAAAGAAAAAGTTTCCGGAAACTTTCACACCTGGTCTTGGAAGATGTAACAAGTTTGAAGCCAAATTCGAATTAAAGGAAAATACTATGCCAATTTTTAAAAAGAAACGTAATGTGCCTTTCGCAAGTGTAGAGAAAATTAACGAAGAACTTGATAGGTTGGAAAAAATGGGAATTATTTCAAAGTAGAATCTAATTCATGGGCTGCGCCGATTGTGTGCATAAAAAAAGAAATCAAACCAAGTCAGAGTCTGCGTTGATTTTTTCGACAGGGTTGAACTTGGTAATTATGAATACCATTACTACCATTACCGAGTCCGGAGGAGATTTTTAACAAGCTAAATGGTGGAGTTATATTTTCAAAAATTGACTTATCAGATGCCTATCTCCAAATTCCCGTCGAAGAGGAATGTTCGGGTTACTAGGGATAAACACGCATAGAGGGTTATTCAAGTACAACAGGCTTCCTTTTGGTATTAAAGTGGCACCTGCCATTTTTCAACAAGCTATGGACGTCATGCTGAATGATTTAGACTTTGCGTGCGCTTACTTAGACGACATCATAGTAAGGAGCGAATCGGTCGACGAACATCGAGAGCATCTCAATCAAGTATTTAAAAAGATTCAGGACTTTGGATTTAAAGTCAAAGA